CTGGGTAGAGTTTTTTTTTTTGTTGATAATAATTTAAAAAAAAAAACAATTAAAAAAAAAACAAGTATCATAACTTCCTTAAAACATCTATGCCCTAATAGTGTAAAGACTTTGTTTACTGACATATTACCTTCATAAGCAACCACAAACTAGTATGTATCGCGGTATAATAGGCTAAAACACTATTATATAATGTAAAATCTCGCATTCCAATTTGGGCTGTGTATAACATTGTATTCGGTCAGAATCGGGCTTGCCTAATTTTGTATGACTAACCGAAATGGGGGTGGTAGATCAAGGCTCGGCCTCGCTTATATCGAACCATGGTACAGATATGGATTGGTAAGCCCGTGGATCAATGGCCGATCAAGAACGAGACCGAAACAGGAAAGAGATCGAACGAGATCGAAGGAAGCCTGCCAGGTCGAATAACAGAAAGCCGAGATATCCGTGATCGGGCAAGGATCGTGGCGAAAATCTCAGCACGTATCAAGTTAGGGCCGGTTATTAGCTCATCATGGGATTTACTTCCGTAGTTAGAATTGTACCATGAATATGATTCCTTTACTATATAAAGAGGGCCCTAATCATCTTGTAAATATATATATACACCCTTTCACGCATATCAAAGCCATATAATACCCTTTCTAGCTTATATTCTCTTGTTCATCAGCTTGCTCTATTTTTACTTATTCTGATATCAATTAGCTCGGGGGCATTCTAACACGAGGGTTAGATTCCGTCTCAACAGTGGTTTGCTTTGCTTTATTGTTAATTTCTATTATTAATTCTCATATTCGTCAATTGGTATTAGGTGAAATCACGTGTCCTTAAAACTACATTATAAGTTTAATTGTTATCCAATTTTGAGGGTAAATAGTTTGGCGCGGGCTAAGGATAATAGTGATTGCCTGGTATTAATTCTCATAACACAAACTGCTTTACGCTTGTTCTCGTAAGTGTCTTTGATTTCAGGAATCAACATGTCAAACTCTCAAGTAGCACCCACTCACACTCACACAGACAACGGCCATGGTCTTCATGGCGAGAACGAAAACATAGTCGTCCCAAGAAACGGAGTACCTCCAGTCAAACCCGATGGACCGTCGGCCGTAGACCCAGTCGATGTCAGCTCCCATATTGCCATTAATGGAAATTTGGGCGTCGAACCTGAAAACAGCGTCCGCAGAGATGCTCGAGCAGCCGATCAGAATGCACAGAGCGGTGAAGAGAGCGAGACTAGCCTTCGAATGATATTTGAAATGTTGCAGACTCAACAAGCTGCAATAGCACAACTCAAAAATCAGAATCGGGCGCCAAGCAGGAGAGAACCCTCACTAGAAGTTGTTCACAGAACTGAACCAGTTCCAGAGAGGCCAAATGAGATAGAATCGGGGACTGACCCCGCCATTGTGAAGATGCTCGAAGAACGCACAAAACGGACCGAATCGGGGGAGAAGAAGAATGAGGAAAATGACAAAAGGGTAAAAGCGTACAACTCTCGAGTTGGTCAAATTCTGGGGGCACCACCGATATTGGAAGGACTTGATTCTAAAAAGTTCGTGCAAAGAACCCTTCCCCCTTAGTGCGGCTCCGAAGCCAATCCCCAAGAAGTTCCGTATGCCCGAGATTCCCAAGTATAACGGGACGACCGATCCGAATGAACACGTCACCTTGTATACGTGCGCCATCAAAGGAAATGACTTGGAAGGTGACGAAATTGAATCTGTACTGCTGAAGAAGTTCGGGGAGACTCTATCGAAGGGTGCCTTAATATGGTATCATAACTTATCCCCTAATTCTATTGATTCGTTTGTTATGCTTGCAAATTCTTTTGTAAAGGCACGCGTCGGAGCCATTAAAGTTGCAACAAGGAAGTCGGACCTTTTCAAGGTAAGGCAAAAGATAACGAGATGCTAATGGAATTCGTATTTCGGTTCCAAGCAAAGAGAATGGATTTGCCTCCGGTCACTGATGACTGGGCTGTTCAATATTTCACTCAAGGTCTCAACACTCGGAGTTCCATAGCTTCACAGCAGTTGAAGCAAAGTTTAATCGAGTACCCGGCTGTCACTTGGGCTGACGTACATAATCAATATCAGTCGAAGATCAGGGTCGAGGATGATCAACTAGGGACTCCTTCGGGGTCCGTTTATCCTAGCAAGCCCATGGATAGGATCAAAGGGGACATCGATCGAGAGCCGAGGTAATAGAGATCGATATCAACCGTACAACAAAGACCGTAGAGGCAGCGGGTCTGGGCGAAGCTTCGCACGAAATGAGAAGAGAAATGATCGAGGTCAAAATTCATGGGGGCTTGGTGCCGAGGAAGATTGCGTTAAATATCCAAAATCCGAATGAAGGTACGACCCCATCCCGATTCTTTCTATTTTTTCGACTATCACTTGCAGGCTATCGACAAGGATCGGCACGAAGCTTTGGATCTTAAAGCACGTGTTGCACTATTTTTCCCTTAGACTGGTTTTTGTCCCAAATGGGTTTTTCCGGCGAGGTTTTTAACGAGGCAACAATTGTTCGTGCTAACTTAGAGCAATTCAACAATATCCGAGGTTCCCTACAATGAGCTTCGAGTACTGGGTGGCATTACCCTCGAATGCCTACTTTGTTGCAAGGAAATTACTTCGTGCAGCGGGGTCTCGATAGGAAAATATTGTAAGGGTCAAACGGTTAGATGAACCGTGCCCATATAGGTTACTCAAACCCTAACATCAAACATGCGCGCATGTATAATCATCTATTGAGAGAAGTATTTTTCCTTGCCGATTTCCCATGCCTTTAGAAAAACTTCCTATTTCATATTCTTGATTTATTATGTAAACAGGCTTAAGGGCCGATCATGACGGAAGTTCGAACAGCTAACCCCACGCTTGAGGACTGCCGTCCGTAAAACAAACAAAATCGAACTACTAAAATTTTGACACCATAAGACCTTAAAGGCGACCCTCGATTTTGCAGGCCACGGCCACCCCACTCGGGGACTGACACTTCGGCAAGCTCGAAATGAAATGAAAAATAAATCCAAAGGGCAATTTCCTAACTAAAGAGGCTACGACCAAATTAACGCGGATCAGAGACGTCAGAAATCGATAGAAAATACAAAGGCCTAAGGGCTAACTTCTACTTCGAGTTCGAGCAAGTCCTCACTTGATCATAAAAGCCCAAGGGCTATCTTAACCCGAGTTCGAGCAAACTCTGACTCGGGGACTATCTATAAAGCCTAAGAGCTAACTTCACTTCGAGTTCGAGCAAGTCCTCACTCGATCATAAAAGCCCAAGGGCTATCTTAACCCGAGTTCGAGCAAACTCTCACTTGGGGACTATCTATAAAGCCTAAGGGCTAACTTCACTTCGAGTTCAAGCAAGTCCTCACTCAATCATAAAAGCCCAAGGGATATCTTAACCCGAGTTCGAGCAAATTCTCACTCGGGGACTATCTATAAAGCCTAAGGGCTAACTTTACTTAGAGTGCGAGCAAATCCTTACTCAACTATAAAGCCTAAGGGCGAACTTTACTTCGAGTCCGAGCAAATCCTCACTCGACTATAAAGCCTAAGGGCTAACTTTACTTCGAGTCCGAGCAAATCCTCACTCGACTATAAAGCCTAAGGGCTAACTTTACTTCGAGTTCGAGCGAATCCTCACTCGACTGTTAAGCCTAAGAGCTACTCAAATTGTAGTTCAAATGGTCGTTCGGGGTCCATCGATCTCGATCGAAAGAACAAAGCCCCGAGCATGGATTTCTTCAAAGGTCTCCCTCCGAGACCGACACTTGGTGCGCTCCTTAGCCCGAACCTGAGCAGTTTCCTTTTGCGAAACAATTTTAGTTGTTTTGGCCATTTTGTTTTCGTAAGCAAGGAAGAATAGAGATTTGAATGTCTGTTATTTCGGGAAGAATAAGCAAAGAAACTCAAAGACTCAATTCGTTTCTTGTCATTACACTCCAAAAAACTAGGGGACTATCTATATACGGTCAGAATCGGGCTTGACTAATTTTGTATGAATAACCAAAATCGGGGTGGTAGATCAAGTCTCGACCTCGGTTATATCGAACCATGGTACAAATATGGATTAGTAAGCTCGTGGGTTAATGGCCGATCAAAGATCGAGACCGAAACAGGAAAGAGATCGAACGAGATCGAAGGAAGCGTGCCAGGTCGAATAACAGAAAGCCGAGATATCCTTGATCGGGCAAGGATCGTGGCGGAAATCTCGGCACGTATCAAGTCAGGGCCGGTAATTTAGCCCATCATGGGATTTGCTTCCGTAATTAGAATTGTAGCATAAATAGAATTCCTCTACTATATAAAGGGGGCCCATCATCTTGTATATATATATATATATATATAGTCACACATATGAAAGCCATATAATATTTTTTTTTGCTTATATTCTCTTGTTCATCAGCTTGCTCTATTTTTACTTATTCTGATATCAATTAGCTCGGGGCATTCTAACTCGAGGGTTGGATTCCGTCTCAACACTGGTTTGCTTTGCTTTATTGTTAATTTCTATTATTAATTCTCATATTCATCAATTGATATTAGGTGAAATCACGTGTACTTAAAACCACATTATAAGTTTAATTGTTATCCAAATTTTAAGGTAAACAAATATGATAAATATCAAATTACAATATCGAAATCGAATTATATAGCTAGTAATAAGTAAAATTACATTAGTAAACAAAATTATGTTAGTATAACTTAATAAATCTGTGGCACCAAATTGAGATAGTGGGGGAGAAAAAACTCTATGCAAGAGAAAAAGCAGCTGTACACGTAAAGAAGCATCCGCGTGTCCCATTACTTATCCATCTCACAGTGAAAAGAGATGGGAGTAGTAAAACCACTTATCATGTAACCGCACACAGGTGATAAAAGCTATCACCCAGCACCAGCTCACACACTGTCGTTCTCTCACTGACAGCAAGCAGGGTCACTCACCAGTCACTCTCTCCTACAACTACTGTATGTATTCCCCCTAACTAATGCCTCTCTCCTTTTCTTTATTTGGTAAAGTGTAAAAACTCTAAAATTTTCCAAGAAAATTGGCTTTCTCTCTATCATATTCATTGGTGAGCTTTTTTTCTTCTTTACCAACCTAGCTAATCATTTTCTTTTCTTTTCTTTTCTTGGAGATGAATACATATTTAGGTCCCTTATTTTTACCTTATCTAAATCATTATCAAAACAATCTGAGGGTTTTTTGTTACTGTTATTCTTTCCTTTTCTGGAGAAACAGATTAAGGGAATGATTTCTTGTTTGCTCAAAGCTTCCATATAGACAGGATTTCTCGATTTAGAATTAGTGTATCTTTTTATTCTAGTTTTCAATTTATTTTTTCACCCTAAACATATTTATTAATGGAGAAACAGACTGAGTTCATCAAACACTCTTTTCTTGGTTTCTAATTTTGTTTCTTATTACGGTGATATATGAAACAGATGAAGAAAATGCATCATTATTTGCAAAAAACTTGCATAACACCCTTTTCTTTTATTCACCTGTATGTATTTAATGTAATATGGGAACGATGTCGCATTTTCTTGGAAAAGAAAGAGAGTTCATTCATGCGTTAGTTAAGCAGTTTTGTAGTAGAAAAGTCTGTCTTCTTCTTTTTGGGTGTGGATTCCAATGAAACCCTAAGATGGGGGACCATTACTTTCCCTAACAAGTGGAGTAGTACCAACTACCCCCCTACTCTGTGCCAAAATAAATAGGAGTAACTTTTATTCCAGAAAATGTGTTTTTATTTGAGGAAAACATATAAATTACTTGTATGTAAATCTAGTCACAATCAAGAAAATTTTCAATGTTTGTGGGGTTGATGAACAATTCAATGTTCCATTATTTATTTGGCTTTCATTTGATTAGGTGAGGAAACAACAAGTAGCTGAAAATGATGTGGTGGAGTTAAGGGATGCAATAGATGGGGAGATGCATTTTGTGGTCTTGGATTGGAAGGGCTTGACCTCTGTTTCTGTATTTGAATAGTTATAATATACTACTTCTTTGTCTCCTACAGCTCTGTTTGATAAAGGTGAACTCGTTTTCTACCTCTTCTTGCAAAATAATTGAAGTTGTTGTTGTATATGCTTGATGAGCTGCTTTAGAATACAAAGATAGTAATAATTATTTTCTTATTGTAAATGGGTTTTTGAGATGCTGCTCTTTGTAAGGTCATGGCTATATGTGTGGGAACTAGCAGAGGAACCTCTTCCAATTTATGGGGCTTGGATGCTTTTTTATTAGTGATTTCAGGGACAATCTTCTTTATTCTTTACATGTTTGATTGACTGCTCTGTGGTGATAGTTTACTTACTCTTGCTTTGGGCTATTCAAAGAATTTGGATTAGAATGACAATATGATCTTGAAAGTGTGAAAGAAATTAGTGAGTTACAGTTTTGAGGTAGAACATCAAATTTGTGATCCAGCCATGCTACATTATCGATTCCGTTTTTTTAGTCTTGGATTTGTGTTCTTGCTCTTTGATTCAAACTTTCCTGTTGTTTGATGGAATGTTTGTTTTTGCCTTGGTGAAATTATGTACTTTTTCAATCTAGGAACAGATAAAAGTTAACTTTATATGGTGGATATTTTGCAGATCTGAGTCCTAGTTACTTTTTTTGCATTCCATGAGTGTGGAAATTTACTAAAGCCATCTCGTAGCTTCTTCCCCAAGATGGAGTGGAATGCAAAGTGGGACTGGGGAAACCTGGTAATGTTTGGTTCAGAGGCCGCCAAAAGTCCAAAAGAACTACAATTAACAGATTGGGGAATTGAAGATGGAGAACTTGATGCTGGATCCTTCAATTTGTCGAGTGGTGGTAGTGGTAATGGTACCGGTGGTTATGTCTCTGATGTTGGGCGTGGTTCTTCGATCAAGAGCTCAATATCAGCTTCTACTGACTCTTCACCAAATGAGGGCTTGAAAGCATCCAACTTTTCTTTCGATGGCTCTCCTGAGGATTTTAGTAAGAAAGTGAAACTTTGCTCTAGAAATTCACCCCCCATGGAGGCTTCAGTAGGCTCTGTTGAACCACTTATAGGTCTGAAACTTGGTAAGCGGACATTTGAGACCATCGGTGGTGCTAAGGTTTCATCCTTCCCCGAGAAACACGTATCATCTGCTGCAGCAGCAAAGAAAACAAAATCATCTACTCAGAATGCACCAACTCCTCGCTGTCAGGTTGAAGGCTGCAGCCTTGATCTTTCATCAGCTAAAGAATATTACCGGAAGCATCGAGTTTGTGACAGTCATTCCAAATGCCCAAAGGTCATTATAGCAGGTGTAGCACGTCGCTTTTGTCAACAGTGTAGCAGGTAGATATCTTTGTAATTAGATCTTTATGTCCTTGGAATGCACATCTGTGCCTTTTAGCAACTTCTTCTTCTAGATGTAGCTTTAGTACATTGCTCATTATTTTTTTAAATTTTTGAATCCTTGAAATTAAGGTTCCATAGCTTGTCTGAATTTGATGAAAAGAAGAGAAGCTGTCGCAGGAGGCTCTCTGATCACAATGCACGGCGCCGCAAACCACAGCAGGAAACCATCCAGTTCAACTCGGCAAGGCTTTCTTCATTGTTTTATGGTATGTTGTCTATGTTTGGATTGGGCGTTTCCTTTCTTGGAATGTGGCTTTGAGTACTCAAATGACAGACTTTAGTAATAGTTATAGAGAATTGGTTAACATGGACAGTAATTTGTCGACTAGTCAAAAAACTTTCCATAACGTTTCTTTGCTGGTTAAACAACCAGTTGTAGTGGCATTGGTTTTAATAATCACTTGTATCTAAAATAAAATGCATGCATATAATTAATAACAATTAGTTGTGCTTGGAAAGTGAGGGTGCTTCGTGGGTTACTTGCTAATCAATATAAGGCATTGTTATGGTTTAAGCAGTGTTTGGTGCTTAATTATCATCTTATGCGCTTTTACAATTACAGATAGCAGGCAACCTATGAATCTTGTGCTCAACCATTCCCAACTGGTTCAGTCTGGAGCTGCTGCTAATTCTACCTGGGAAAGCACTGAAGAAACTAAGTTCAGTATAACAAGAGGGTCTACTCCAAAGCCTGAAAGAGCTGGCAGTACAAATGGGCAGTCATTATTGCCAGGGATCCAATTTTCACGGGCCGTGGGTGCACACAGTAATGTATCTAGCTGCTTGCTCTTGCCCTCCAAGGGCCACACAGCCGAGGTTTTCAATCGAGGTTTGTTTCACTATCAAGGATCCAAAGCTTTTCTTCTGTGCAGTTTTGCTCCAAGATGTTGCAATTTTTATTTATATACTAAAGCAGATCTCTACTTTTTCCCTGACTATTTGTATCTTTTTGTAAAAACAGTTCCTTTAATTTAGTTGCATAATCATTAGTTATAGACTCCTGAAGGCAGCAATTCTTGTTAATGAATATCTCTACCCTAATTAGTAGTCAACGTTTTCTTTTGATAAGGCTTATTGGTAGTCAACAATAGGTGCATTACATTTGCATTATGGGTTACACGTTACGAGTACTGATCTTAAGTAGAACCCTTCAATAAATGTACTTTTTCTCCATCTGGCCGGCCCGTATGTGATGAAAGATGGTAGGAAGCACTTTGGTTGAAAGCTTTATTTTTATTATTACTATGGAACCTTCTTTATTTTTGCTTGAGTTGTAGTTTTATCTGTCCAACAGTTCCTGAGGAATTGAAGGCATTTTCATTTAGCCAGAGTGCTATCGATGATACTTAAAAGTGGCTGAAGTAGAACTGGAATTGTTATGCTATGCGTTGGGGTTGGAGATTATGACTTATTATTCGTACTTTGGTATCTAATAAATTGAAAGAGTTAGCTGACAACATAAAGCCCTTACCTAATATCACTGCCTCTGATATGAGTTGATAAGAATGTTCCTAATTAGAGATCAAAGCAGTGCACCAAAGGCGGTAAAATGTTCACTTGCATGTAAGATAACAATCACATGCACTTAGCTTGTTGGAAAAACTTAGGAGCTGCAGAAGTTGCGTAAGAGACTCACCATACATAGGAGACATTCAAGGGTTTGATTTCTAAGACATTTATTTATCTTCCTCATAATTTAGAGAATAAGTATATCTTATCTGTTGTTAGATTAGTTACTCTCCTGTCGAGAGTTCACTATTGTTGAGAAGAGATTAGACATTCACCTCTATTTATTGTCGGTCTTTTTTTCTGTAGAGACTTTGTTAGATATGGAATATACTGAAAATATGATGTCCAGTATATAACTGATAGTGGCAGTGGGATTGGCTGTTGTCCTTTTTGGAAATGGAGTCAGGATCACTTAATCGACTCACTTTACTTTTTATGAATATATTTTATGGAAGAAATAAAGTTGAGATTTTGAAAAGTTGATCTTTAATATGTTCACTGTTAAAGAATTGTAGAATGCTGAAAAGTTTTGGAAGTCAAGACGACTTGAGTGTTACGAGGAAGCTGAACGGAAGTGCAAGATTATTAAATTCCAGCATAAGTTTTCTGAAGTAGTTTAGTTTCCATTTTTCTATTAGGTACCACGGAATCCATGTTCAATATGGGTACAGGACGGGAATTTCCTCGTGCTCTCTCTCTTCTGTCAACTAATTCATGGGGTTCATCCGAGCCTGAGACTGTTTCACTGAACAACCCAACACATGCAAATCAGAGCAGCATGCCCGAGCAGATGATGCAGGCAATTCCACAAGGTGTGCCACTTATGTCCTGTGAATACTGGCAGGGTGGACAACCCTCATCCGATCCTCGTGACCATACATTGGCTGCTAATAGTCATGCTGGTGGTAGCTTTCAGGGAATCGAGCTGTTCAAACCTCCATTTGACACAGACTTTTATCTCAATGCATTGAACTGAAGCCAACATCTGATGTCTTTAGTGGATTTTGGGCAGCTCCCCTTTTCGCTTTTTGACACGTTATCAAGCAGGAGGTTTATTAGTAAGCTATTTCAAGCAGTCTGTTTGCCATCTTAAATTAGTACTGGTATATATAATATATATATAGGTTGGGCATTGACTCCAAGAAAGTTTGCTTAATTTAGGCAGTGACAAGGGTTCTTAAGAATTGTAGTTTCTTTATTCTGCAACTTAGAACATAACTGCACAGGCCCCGACTTCCAAATGACTGTTCTGTTCTTTTTCACCATTTTCTGGAGTGTTGACGAATTAGTATTTTGCTGAGGTTCTATTCTACTTTTATTTTCATTCACCGAGTAATTTTCGTAGCCTGTTCGATCTTCATAAAAAGTTTGAACATTTAATAATGTTTGTTAGATTCATAAAGTCAGTATGTGCTTCCTAAGTACTTTTTGCAAGTGACAAGTGAAGCTTATTCCCATGATCTGAAATGATAAAACACCGAATGAAATTTCGGTACAGTAATCAATTACCTGTTCCAAATTGCTATTTTGAGGATGTCAGCTGACAATTGAATTTGATTATGACCAATATTTTCATATCCATAATAGTGTGAAAAGAGGGCTCGGCTCCAAGTTGTTCAAGAATAGTAGCGTTGAGTTTATCGACCCTTTGACTTAGGATTAGTTAGTTCTATTTCTCGATGGGGTGGGGAAGGGATATAACTCAGCGGTAGAATTGTTTCCCGAGCCTCTAGTGAGTTAGAGACAGAGTTGAAAATGTCAAATTTACATCTGAACCGAATTAAAGAATCTCTTTCTAGTTGCTGTGGAACAATTAGGAGATTCTCTAGAAGAAATACGGGGTTCTGCTTCATGCAGCAACATGCTTGGTCCGACTTATGGGGTCGACTAGTTTCGGGTTCTAATCCCGGGCTACGTTATCGCAATTCTAATTGTCCGTAGAGAAGTCCGTATTGTTTCAATCAACTTCATTAAAAATTCGAATACATACACCGTGGTTGACACGAGTATATAAGTCATGTTATACTGTTGAATAATAAGCCTTTCATTTTCTATTTTTATTTGTAGAGAACTCGTGTGTTTGGGAGTCCCTGATGATTAAAGAAATCAAAATTTTGCCATGACTGCAATTTTAGAGAGAAACGAGAGGGAAAGCCTATGGGGTTGCTTCGATCTAATAAGTACCTTGTGTTAGAATTAAGAAATTGTAGGGCTCGGATTGTTAGTATTCTCTTTATTACAAGTATCTACAATTTAGGCAGAATACCCTCACCATTCTCACTAAGAAACTAAAAGAAGCCTAAAAAAAAGAAGGGTGGAAAGTGAGGAAGAAAAAGATGTAGAAATAGAAACAACTTCTCTCGGGAACTTTCTTAAAGAGGAACCTTATATAAATACCATGGAATAAGGTTTGATCTGGAGATTCCATCACTATTCCAAAAATGGAAAGTTTGACACAATTGATTTTTTTTTTGGAAGCACTGACTAATTCATGATTTGTACATTACAATAGGCATTGTGATGCAAAGAACTTTAATTGGAGAAATAGAAGAAACATGTATCACCACATGTAAAATCTGAGAAAGTCCCACATGAATATTCTACCATAACGGATATTCAAGAATCGGTAATAAAACAGATGATATTTGTCGAGAAGTGCAAAATCGTATCGATACGATTCTCATTTTCTATTTTGATTGGATAGTTTCTTTATGGATTCCTATCCCAAACTCTGCGAGATGTGTTTCCGAGTATTCCTTGATCATTTCGTCCAGGAAGAGGAGTTCCTCTAATTCTATGAATTTTTCTAGAAGACTATTTCTCTTGAATATTATTTAAAAAAAATCGAATTGCCCAATATTTCACCAATTAATAACCCAAGATTTTACACATTAACAGAGAAAGAAATCCACCAGGGGAAAAATTGCTCAGGTACCCGTGAGTGAGGCTTATTTGGGTCGTGTTATAAATGCATGGCTAAACCTATTGATGGTAGAGGTGAAATTTCAGCTTCTGAATTTCGATTAATCGAATCTGCTGCCCCAGGCATTATTTCGTGTCGTTCCGTATATGAGCCTCTTCAAACCGTGATTCAAATAAAGATTTCTCTGGTACCCTATGTCAATAAAAGTAAAAGAAAGAAAATAAGGGCGAAATAAAGATAATCAAGGCAATGTTGTATCATGTGTGTAAGAAATATTCGACCGCACAGAGTGTACGAATGGGTTGATGGACAATTCACGGATGAAAAAATGGCAAAAAGAAAGCAGTCACTCCTCTTTTTTATCTTGCATCTATAGTATTTTTTTCCCAGGTGAATTTCTTTCTCAGTTAATAAATGTCTGGAATCTTGGTTACTAATTGGTGGAATACTAGGCACTCTAATTTTTTTGGGATAATACTCAAGAAAAGAGTCTTTTAGAAAATTCATAGAGTTTCAAAATTTGAATATCGAGTCATCTATGATAAGAGTATAATGAAATTATCCATATGTGTTGGGATAAATATTAGAGATATAGAAGTACTAATCAGAAGAACTCTTTATAAACGAATAGGAAGCGACATTATAAAAGAAAAGATAGAGGGTGTGTTTGGTATAAAGGAAAATATTTTCCGGAAAATGTTTTCCAATTTTCCCATGTTTGGTTGGCTTAAATATTTTGGAAATTATTTTCCTTATCAACTCAATTGGAGGAAAATGTTTTCCTTATCAATAGAAGGGAAAACATTTTCCAAAACTCCTTCTCAACCTTCCCCACCCTATCCCCCCAACCCACCCCCACAACCCCCACACCCATCC